ATTTGTGAGAGCCTGTATTGAGAAACATGGCTGTAACTAAACAAAAGATCAAAGGTCTGTCTTTTTTATGTCCCCCAGAAATTTGTTCCACATTCTAATCCAGAAGTTACCAGTTGCTCTGAAAGGCTAAAGCTTTGTGAAACTTTATACTCAGCCTTGTTCAACACTGATTTCTTTAAGGTCGCTATGCAGTAAAAGCTATGAAGCAAATGGAGCCACAAGTAAAACAAGCACTTCAGAACCTACCAAAACCTGTAAGTTTTTGCTTTATCAGTAGCACCTTTTTATCTAAAAGTTTACTTGGTGAAATAACTAGAGGCTGTTGTCTCTGTATAGCATTACTGCCATTTTCTTCTAATACTAAACATAGTTTTGTCAGCAATAACAGAATTAATTTCTGTGATTCTGGTGGTTGTTGACTTGTTTGGGCAAGTTTAAGTACTCGTTTAAATAATGATTCTCTACTTCAGCTGAATTTCTTACTACAAGTGCAAAAGAAGCTTTGCAGTATCCTTGCAGACTAGAAGTTCAGCAGCTGCTAAAGCAATATGAGTTGTTTTAACTGATAAAGTTGAAAATGAATGCTTTTTAAACTTCCACCTTTTCTCTTTCAGGCCTTCAGTGGTTATTACAGAGGTGGATTCGAACCCAAAATGACTAAACGAGAAGCAGCTTTAATACTAGGAGTGAGGTAAAAGGAAACTAACTAGAAATGAAAGGTAAAAAGGAGGCTGTGGTGTTACCTAGTTGCTGGCCTGGTTTGAAAAGGACATGATTCTCAATGCTTAAAACTTGTCATAGGTCCAGCTTCCTGTGGGAATGTCACTGCTGAGTCAGGCAATGTGAAGTGGCCTTCCAGGATTTTCTGTACTTATTTGGGATTCTTTGCTTCATGTTGGCTTGCTTAAAGCTAACTCTAGCTGGACTTCTGTATGTCTGTAAATCCCTGGCACGTTTGAAAGCTACATACAGGTCCTGGTAAATATGCCATTTCCAAGGAGTCTTGGGGTTTACTTGGTATGAGGAACACGGTTCTGCTGTTTGCTTGTGGGTCCTGTCACTGCTGGTGAATTTCAGATAGATGCTGTGTGAAGGTGCTGCAAACCCACTTCTTGCATGTGGAATAAATTCATCACTTATTCTAGAATATCTTAGATATGACTATGGTGGTTATCCCTGACAAAACTTAGAGAGACTTAAGACAAATACAGAAATTTATCTAATAAGAGAGTAAGAACCATTTCTATTTGAGGGCAGCTTCCAGCTGTGAAGTTTGTATACAAACAGTTTGTTGGTTGGTTGTGGGTTTGTGGTTTGTTTTTTTTTTTTTTAAATAAATAAAGAGCAATTTTTTTTTCCTCCTCCAGCCTTTAAGAAGTTTTTCCAGTAAAAATCTTACAACATAGTTCTGTTTGTTTTCAACTGTGTGAATGTCCCCCACTGTATTTCACTGCTATAGCGTGTCTTCTTTAGCATGCAGTATTTTGGAAAAACCATAGAAACCAGTAAGAAAAGAAAAACATACATGTAAGCCAAAGAGTTGTGTGAAGAAGACAGAATGCTTGCTTGTTCTAAGACATCTTTTAAAGATCTGGGGGATTTTAAGAGGTTCCCTTAAGTCAATTTTTCTCTCTCTTTTAAAGCCCTACAGCCAACAGAAGTAAAATACGAGAAGCTCATAGACGGATCATGCTTCTGAATCATCCAGATAAAGGTCAGTAAGTAAAGTCACTCTGATTAATTAATACATGTTTTTAACACAGATCAATAGAACTGTGCAGGGAAGAAGGGACTGACATATGACTGACTAACTCAGCAGAGTGAAAACAAATTTTAGGGTGACTTAATCCTTAAGGGTTTGGAGCATATTTTTGTGTTTGAATGCTCTAAAGCAAGCAAAGAGATTCAGCAGGTCAGCTTGATACTTGCTTTATCTTCTGTACATACCAGATTAAAATACGATTTGTTAAAATGAGACTTAAAATCACCTTAATTTCAGCTGAAAGCCCAGAGTATATTTGTGCACTTCATGTACCATGTTGGTTTGAGTTCATTTGGATGCATTGGGAATTCACCACAAAGCAGATATTGAGCCTTCTGCCTCTGGTGAAGACACTTGCCTGTTTGTGGTACTCTGAAAGCTCAGAATCTAGTTATGCTTAAAGTCACTAACTTGAGGCATCTATACCTTTTATAAATTCTGGTCCTTTCAGTGAGTCAGAATCACGTGTTACTGCTTGGCATTTAACTTAATCCTCACTTAAAAGGTAAAATGGCTTCGTGACTGTTGAACTTCATTACTTTAATGTACCAAAATCCAAAATACTCCTATTAATTGCTACTATCTAGCAGAAGTTAACTTCAAAATTAACTTTATGGAATATATGCAGAACCTAAAAACAGCTAGCCAAAGACTGCTTAGGAGCATTTCACATGTTTTACATGACCTAAATAAGTTAAGCTTCAGGTAAACAGAGTAATTCTAGTACTAGTAACTGGTGCACACGCTAGAAATACATACCAAAAATCTTTGCACCGCACGGTCAGTTACAGTTTCAGTGCGTTTGCATCGTGGGTTCTGTTTCAGTATCTTCCCAGGTCATTTGTATGTCACGTTTAAAAACTGATCTAGTCCATTGGTACAGCAGCAGCAGCTCATATGAACTGCGGGGGGAAGGTTTACCTGCAGACTTGTTAGTTTAACACTTCTGTAGTCACACCACTCTAAGTGATTAGTGACCAATTCATTTATGACTGACAAAACTGGAGAAAAAGAAAACCTCAGCACAATAATCTAAAAACAACCAAACAGGAATGAGCTGTCTGCACATTTAGCTACTGCCCTGACTGCATGTGTAAGCTTACATTGCTTTGGTTGTAATGCAGTCTGTTCTTGAGTAACTTTCAGATCATACTCTCACTTTTTTCCTGTGTGCTATGGCATTATTAACTGACAGAAAATACTTTCCATCTGATGTGACGTGAGGTTATTTTTCTTCTAGGTGGTTCTCCTTATGTAGCAGCCAAAATCAATGAAGCTAAAGATTTACTGGAAGACCAAGCTAAAAAATGAATGAGAGAAAATCAGAGGGTTTGTCCATGCAAATGATTATTTTTGATAAATGGCTTAAGAAAAGTTCTAATGTCTTTGACTTAAAGTCTTTGACTTAATATAAATGAAGCTGGAAATACGAATCCAGGGAGGTACTTCCCTCCCCATTCACTTAGTCACTTTTTGGAGAAACGTGTGAGGGAGGCAAGGCTTAATGTTTTATTTCGTAGCTGTTCTTTATTAAGCAGCAAATCTGTCACTCAAGAAATATTTTCAGTGTAAAAGAGTAATAACTTGGTTTGGCCAATGCATGTTACCAGATCCAGGTAGGCTTGCATGCTGTTACCTGATTTTTGTTAAACTGGCTGTGTGAAGTTCACACTGCTGTTCTTTCACATGCCAAAGTTAACATCAGGAACCAGTCTGGGGAGGGGGTGGAAAAAAATCAAAGAGGATTTATTTGCTGGGAGGAGTTGGGGCAGGTGTGTGGTTGTCTCTGACTGAAGAAATAAAGTACAGGAAACAACGTACTCCGTTGTCTTTGCCTTGTGAAAAACAAGGTTGGTTGAGCTTCTTAAATGTTACTGATGGGTCTGGAATGTTCCGGTCTTTTTAGTAACTTTCAGTTAATGGATTTCATAGCATTTAATAAGTGCCCAATTTGTAACAGAAGTACTGTAGATTTATACACTATCTATTTATACTACAGTTAGAATTCACATAATCAGGTTTGCATTTATAGCTATTAGGAAACAGGAACTCCTTACATAGATCATTGGACACCTGAGCTGGATTTATCATGCTGCATGAAGCCCAACACACACCAGAAGAAGTCTTTGTAAGTATCTGAACCAGGGCCCACAAGTTCTGTGGTTTGCCTGCCAGTCTTTCTGAAACTGGTAAATCCGCTGTACAGCACATGTTAACACCCATCTGTTCATAAATACAACAGATTTCAGAGCTTTCATTGTTCCAGAACTAAGAAGCCTCTGCTTCAGAGCAGCGTAAGTTGTCTGACATCCTCTGCGTCAATGTTTGCTGCTGTGTTGCTGCATTTCTGTAGTTACAGGTGTTGCCAGAACAACAGTAAGGGAGTTCCAGGGCCTCACAGGAGAGGGGGGGATAACTTTGCTTTACTACAGACTTCCAAGTGGGATGAAAAAGCAGCAGGACCATTGCCATGGAGCAGTTCCAGAGTGTGTATTTTCAGCCATGTGCAGAATGTTGCTGTACTTCAGTTTTTCCCTGCCAAATAATACTGACTTTTTAAAATTTGCTCTACTCTTGTGGCTGCCTTATCAGCTGAGCTGCTTGTGCACGCTGCAGAGTTATAACAATTTACCTGTTTGTTCTCCAGTAGGGAACACTGTTGATGAGTGTCAACACTTGAGTTATATTAAAAGCTGCACGTTGCCTTCAGTGAAATCTGTCCCCAGACCTAGTCAGTACAGCGCTTGTAGCTGTGTCAGGCAGAGCAGCTGGAGTCATACATGGCTCAGAGTACTTCAGTTTTGTCCTTACTCCTGACGAAAACAGGTAAGACAGTTTTTTGTTTTTTTCTTTGAAGTCAGCACTACTAGTTCACTCTGACTTCCTAAAGCATCTCCTTGTTACCCAAATGTTTTTCCACTTCACTGCTCTTGCTCATGTGCCTAAACAATGGGTTAGTGTGTCGTGCTTCTGACTTAATTGAAAACTACATCTGCATTAATTCCTATATATGTTAGTCAGGTTAGGTGATTCTCCAAGATCTGAAGTCTGTTTTTAAGGCTTGTTAACTGATATTTTACATCATCACCTTAAAGAATGGAAGATTAGCATGTTAGAAGACTCTTATAAACGAGTTAAAGGTTCAAGCTTCTGTGCAAGTACATTTCAATTGTGTTAAAGAGCTTGAAAACCTTCAAGTCAATAGTAATTTAAATTTCTGATAGAAACAGTCAACAGATGGAAGATCAAAGTTTATTTTCTTTTACTACCAGCATACAAAAAAAACATATTGCACATCAAACAACCAAAACAAAAATAAAAATACTCTACTAAGGACTAACATATGTAGTTTATACAGAATAAACTTTCTGGAAATTGATCTTTTCAGTAGTTCAGGTTATGTCTTAATGGACATGACTAAGTCAGCTTAGTGTTAACTAAAGCTATGTTTGATTTTTAAATACTGTACAGTTTAATAAATAAACCAAACAAAGCCTCAATGTAGAACAGTCACTGCCAATGTCACCCAGTATCCCTGCAGATTATGAGAATTTAACAAATGTATTCCAGTGGTCTGCAGATTTTTCCTCTACATACAGCATTTAAAAAACATGTATTAAAACAGACCAGTTTCCAGACTAAACTAATGGAGAAATTACATTTCAGTGCAAAATATTTTAGACTGCATTTCTTTCTAGTATTCCTCAGGTGAAGAAGTGGTTGCATATTATTAAAAATGTAACAAAAGCAGCTAATGCTTTCATAAAGAGTATTATGTTAGGGATCCCCCTCACATCTTTGCCATATTTTGAAAACAAAATAACATTTCCTATAGCCAGCAATTTTGTTTATTTAAATGTTACATATACTATCTCAAGGCACATCTGATGATATATTTATAACACAGTAGGTGTCAAAGTATGTTTAACATATGATTTCTTCAGGATCCCTCCCCCTTCTGTATTCCAAAATGGAGGAACTGAAAGTGCGGTGTCAAGACTGGCGATCCATATTCTATCTTTGGCAAGCTTATACAAGCACTATTTTAAATGTAATGTAAGAGAACTGTAAACTAGGAACTTCAGTTTATGAAACACCATTCAGCACTGCTTCTTCCTGATTATTTCCATCCTCTTGAACAGTAACTTTCTTTTCATCAGGACTGTGCTGTAGTTTAGAAGGCTCATCCCCAGAAGCTGTAGCAGGACCATTCACTGCCTTTTCAGAAGGGCTGTTTTCATCAATGGCATCTTTTGCCTTGCAAAACAAAAACAGGATAGTATTAAAAAATTCTGTTTAAAAAAAAATACAGAGTGTAATCTGATTCCCTCGGGCTCACACAGCAACTCTGCAACAAGAAACACCTTTTGTCTGCCTGTGCCAGGACCCTGTCATGTGTAGCTCCCTATCACTTACCTTGTCATTTACAGGACGCTTCTGTATCAGATACTTCTGAGCAAACCATGCCAAGGTAACCCCGAGACAGCGGGCCCCCAGCATACCCACTGTTTTATGTGACAATTTCAATGTGTCTAAGCCAATGGGGAATTAACTGAAAAGTTGAGTTTTACACCCCTTTCTATAATAAGATTAGATTTTGTTAATCACACCTCATGGATCTTTCTTATTTTGCTCAACTCGGACAATGTCTTGTCTGAGTTGCTCAACTTGTCACAGTGAGTTCAATGTTACTTTAGAAGTAAAGGAACTCTGCTTTGTTCAGCTCTGAGTATTATTTGGTATGCTACACAGTGCCACTGATCCTTTTAAGGAGAACAGATCTCAAATCTACCATCTTTGTAACATTAATTCTTTCTACAATAGTTTGTAGAAGTCACTAAACATGCTACCTGGCATCCTCTATGAAAGCATTTCTAGGATTATTTCTTAAGACTCAGACATAGATAGTTTTCACATTTAATTATGTAATGCTACATTATGAAGTGTAATATTCTAAAATGCGTAAAGACTTAATTTGAGCATCACACTGGTCACTAAACTCTGCAATGAGAGTCATGTCAGTTCTGTTTACTCTGCGCCATTTTTGCTTTTAATGATTTATTATTGAACTCAAATGCATTTGTAGTCAAATGAGGGCAATCTAAATGAAGCATTCCTTTACTGTTTTGCTGCAAGGGAAGAGAAAAAACCCCCATACATTAAAAAAACCCAAAACAATCAACCAAAAACCCCCCCAAAAATCAAAACAAACCAACCCCCAAACTTCTTACCGTTTCTTTCTTGGTTTTGGCTAGTGTCTCCTTTGGAGGGTTTCTCTGTCTACTTTGCGATTCAGCTCGTGATATATAATCAGCTACTGTTACTGTTCAAGGAAAAAAATTACAGTGATGCTCACATCAGAAGTCTCATTTAGCATTAAGCTTCATATGTCTTTTCTGTACAAGTTACACTATCACTGGGAGACATCTCTCAAAAGGCCATCACGCTTAAAGGTTATCAGCTACATAGCAAGCATCGATTTGTTTCTGCTGTTAAATACAATCTTCACTAAAATCAGTGGTAACATGACAATCTGAAGGTGGAATCTTAACATTAATAAAATAGTAATTTTGGTAAAATTGTGAATTTTATTGGAAAATAAGGGCTTTCGGTACCAGGTTTGAAGAGATCAGGCTGCAGGCTCTTAAAACTACAGACTGTCATTGGGGTTCTATGAACTTGAATTTCACACTAATAAAATGAAGGTTAAGTTAAAATATGAAAAGAATTGGGGGAGGTTCAGAGTATGGAATCACTTACGATAAAGCAGCATTCAAATCTTTGTCACGTCATGAAGCAATTGGCAAGAGAACTCACCCTCCTCCTGGTATTCAAAACGCAATCCACACAGTTAACTCTGGCTTGTGGGTGGGTGGATGGATTAATTGTGGTGTGTGTACAGACACTTGAAGCGGCTCTGTAAGAGCGAGCCCGCGCTCAAAGGCTGGACAGCCACGTTTGCACTGTTACAGCTACACTCACTGGATGCCAGCCAGGGGTTTTCTGACCTCTTTTCTTCTTACCACCTCAGCACATGTTCTCGTAGCCTGGTTTTGTCTTATCCTGCCCTCTTGTAACCACACCAACTGAGAGTCAGTTCTATCTTTAGAATACACAGCACTACAAATTTAAAAAATACACTCGTATCTTGGACGAGCTAAAGCACATTAGGGTTGGCAAGCATTATCTACTGAACAGCACAGTCAATGATATTTAGTATATCATGCATTCAGGTGAACTACTGTTCTGGATTTAGGAATGATTGTGCATGAAACCTACATCGGAACAGGAAGTACAACACATGAATTTTCTGTTACAGGAACTGGACTTCTTACAACTGGGTCCTTGCGTAAGTGTCAAGACCAAGTGAGTTTCTGCACAAGGATAATTATTTCTTTAAAATGAGGTTCTGTGCCCAGCTCCTCTAATGTAAAGGTGAAGTATGTTTTATGCACACAGTGTTAAGACACCAATTCTTAATATTCATATAAGTAGAAGGAACCCAAAACATATGGCAATGTAAATCAACACAATTAAGTGACTCAAGTACATTGTTAACATGGGGGGGGCGGAGTTCCTTCTGTCTTAATTTCAATTCCTAAGTATTTATGAAGAGATTCAATTATTAGAGCATTTTTTACAAGGACAGTGTAACTAACTACCAATGCTCTTACTGTTGTATTTAAAAATATTTCTTATGCAAACTGAAACCAATATATTGAACAAAGATATTAATAGGAAAAAAACTGAGAAATCTTGTTTAGGAAATTGTTTTGTTCTTAGAATATGTAGATTTTTAAAAAATACCATAGCTTTTTGTAGCTATGACTAACATCTCTGTGTTACTGGCTGAAATTAGTTTCTTTGAAGTAAAAGCTGAAATCCATTTTTACTTTTCCTGCCCCTTTATAAACTCTTATCACTGTTACAAAACTAGAAAGTTCAGAAGAAATGGATTAATTTATTTTTTTTTTTTAATGTGTGTTTGGGGGGCAGGATGTTTGGGGTTTTTTCTGCCCCTAGGTTTTAGTTAGTGTAATGGAACAACTTTCTTCTTAATCAAATCTTGTATGAGTGCCACAGATACCAGGAAGACAAATATGGGTGAAATTTTGAACCTGTCAATCTAGAAGCCCTTCTGTTCCTACCTTACGCCACGTATGTACAGGCATCTTCTAAATAGGGCATTATATTGAGAATGAGCTAGTTCACCTTTAACATTTCAAGTGTTAGTACACACAAAAGAAATGCAACAAGCCACAACAAGAAATTGGAAACATGCAATTTCATTTCAATTCCTCCTCCTTCCCACCCTCAATTTGTAGAGGACTTAGAAATATTCACGGAAGCCGAGGACTGACAGTGGCAGATTGACAGCGGCGCGGGGCTGGCAGACCCCAGGTGAGCTCCCTCACTGCGCTCTGCCAGGGCACCCCCGTCCTGCCACTGCGACTCTTGGCTCCTCAGCCAGTGCCGAAAAGGTTGTGTCGCATTCGATGCAAGTGCACAGATGCAAGTGAGCGCAGGTCATGAACCTTCAGTTTTGTCTTGATCCTGGACCACGGAACTCAACAGCGCTTTGGCCATTGACTTCAGTGAGAACTGGATCAGAAGCGTAACTCGTATGTCCAAGCAAAAAGTTAGACATTATCAATTAGTTTCATTAGGCAGATTAAGAACTTTTGTAAGTTCTCCTAGTAGAAGAAATGTCTTTTGTCTTTATCTAGTAGTCTTATTAGTTATTGAGTAACCTTTTTATATTATGCAGCTCTATGTACAACAGCAGACACAACATTCTCTCATGCTTTTGACCTGAGATTACCCACAGCTCCACTCGAATTACCTGGCTGTCTATCTTCTGCCTGACCCCTGAAGCGACGCCTGCGGCTACGATTGCGTCGCTGGGGTTTTTTGTCACTATCATCTGCAATTGCAAAGTTTACCATGAACTATTTCTGATGATAAAAATCAATCAATAAATATTTCAGCAGTTTCAGCAAGGGGCATTTAAAATTGCTTCTGTTAAAGAGACAGGTTAAATAAGACAGGCTCAAAGAAAAACAACTTTATACTGAAAGCATACACAATAATGCAAAAGCTGGATTGCACTTTTTTTTCTCTTGGCTCATTAAAACATTTAGGCATATGCTTAATGACCTCAGATTTCATTTATTAACTAAGTAACCATATGTCAAATTTTAGCCACGTAACCCATGAAAGAAGAGGTTTTTTTCCTAGATTATTAAAGCAACAGATTATATTCTTGTCCCAGGGAGTACAAAGAGAATTTACTGAGGGGAAGTACTTAAGCAGTTGCTGGGTAGAGCCAAATTAACAGCTGCTTAAGTATCTTCCCT